TTCTGTACAATACATAACTACCGAGGGAACTGTGACATGTCTTCTCCCTTCTGTACAATACATAACTACCACGGGGACTGTGACATGTCTTCTCCCGTGTGTACAATACATAACCACCACGGGGACTGTGACATGTCTTCTCCCTTCTGTACAATACATAACCATCAGGGGGACTGTCACATGTCCTGTCCCTTCTGTACAATACATAATCACCAAGGCGACTGTGACATGTCTTCTCCCTAGTGTACAATACATAACCACCACGGGGACTGTGACACGTCTTCTCCCTTTTGTACAATACATAACCACCAAGGGGACAGAGACATATCTCCTCCCTTCTGTACGATACATAACCTCCACGGGGACTGTGACATGTCTTCTCCCTTCTGTACAATACATAACCACCACGAGGACTGAGACATGTCTTCTACCTTCTGTACGATACATAACCACCACGAGACTTTGACACGTCTTCTCCCATCTGTACAATACATAACTACCACGGGGACTGTGACATGTCTTCTCCCCTCTGTACAATAGATAACTACCACGTGGACTGTGACATGTCTTCTCCCTTCTGTACAATACATAACCACCACGGGGACTGTGACACGTCTTCTCCCTTCTGTACAATATATAACCACCACGGGGACTGTGACATGTCGTCTCCCTTATGTACAATACATAACCACCACGGGGACTGTGACATGTCTTCTCCCTTCTGTACATTACATAACCCCAACGGGGACTGTGACATGTCTTCTCCCTTCTGTACAATACATAACCACCACGGGGATAGTGACATGTCTTCTCCCTTCTGTACAATACATAACCACCACGGGGACTGTGACATGTCTTCTCCCTTCTGTACAATACATAACCACCACGGGGACTGTGACATGTCTTCTCCCTTCTGTACAATACATAACCACCACGGGGACTGTGACATGTCTTCTCCCTTCTGTACAATACATAACCACCACGGGGACTGTGACATGTCTTCTCCCTTCTGTACAATACATAACCACCACGGGGACTGTGACATGTCTTCTCCCTTCTGTACAATACATAACCACCACGAGGACTGTGACATGTCTTCTCCCTTCTGTACAATACATAACCACCACGGGGACTGTGACATGTCTTCTCCCTTCTCTACAATACATAACCACCACGGGGACTGTGACCTGTCTTTTCCCTTCTGTACAATACATAACCACCACGAGACTGTGACATGTCTTCTCCCGGGTGTACAATACATAACCACCACGGGGACTGTGACATGTCTTCTCCCTTCTGTACAATACATAACCACCACGAGGACTGTGACATGTCTTCTCCCTTCTGTACAATACATAACCCCCACGAGACCATGACACGTCTTCTAACATCTGTACAATACATAACCACCACGGGGACTGTGACATGTCTTCTCCCTTCTGTACAATACATAACCACCACGGGGACTGTGACATGTCTTCTCCCTTCTGTACAATACATAACCACCACGGGGACTGTGACATGTCTTCTCCCTTCTGTACAATACATAACCCCAACGGGGACTGTGACATGTCTTCTCCCTTCTGTACAATAAATAACTACCACGAGGACTGAGACATGTCTCCTCCCTTCTGTACAATACATAACCACCACGGGGACTGTGACATGTCTTCTCCCTTCTGTACAATACATAACCACCACGGGGACTGTGACATGTCTTCTCCCTTCTGTACAATACATAACCACCACGGGGACTGTGACATGTCTTCTCCCTTCTGTACAATACATAACCACCACGGGGACTGTGACATGTCTTCTCCCTTCTGTACAATACATAACCACCACGGTGACTGTGACACGTCTTCTCCCGGGTGTATAATACATAACCACCACAGGGACTGTGACATGTCTTCTCCCTTCTGTACATGTGTGACATGTCTTCTCCCTTCTGTACAATACATAACCACCACGTCATGTCTTCTCCTTCTGTACAATACATAACCACCACGGGGACTGTGACATGTCTTCTCCCTTCTGTACAATACATAACCACCACGGGGACTGTGACATGTCTTCTCCCTTCTGTACAATACATAACCACCACGGGGACTGTGACATGTCTTCTCCCTTCTGTACAATACATAACCACCACGGGGACTGTGACATGTCTTCTCCCTTCTCTACAATACATAACCACCACGGGGACTGTGACCTGTCTTTTCCTTTCTGTACAATACATAACCACCACGAGACTGTGACATGTCTTCTCCCTTCTGTACAACACATAACCACCACGGGGACTGTGACACGTCTTCTCCCTTCTGTACAATACATAACCACCACGGGGACTGTGACATGTCTTCTCCCTTCTGTACAATACATAACCACCACGGGGACTGTGACATGTCTTCTCCCTTCTGTACAATACATAACCACCACGGGGACTGTGACATGTCTTCTCCCTTCTGTACAATACATAACCACCACGGGACTAACTCCTCCCTTCTGTACAATACATAACCACCACGGGGACTGTGACATGTCTTCTCCCTTCTGTACAATACATAACCACCACGGGGACTGTGACATGTCTTCTCCCTTCTGTACAATACATAACCACCACGGGGACTGTGACATGTCTTCTCCCTTCTGTACAATACATAACCACCACGGGGACTGTGACCTGTCTTCTACCTTCTGTACAATACATAACCACCACGGGGACTGTGACATGTCTTCTCCCTTCTGTACAATACATAACCACCACGGGGACTGTGACATGTCTTCTCCCTTCTGTACAATACATAACCACCACGGTGACTGTGACACGTCTTCTCCCGGGTGTATAATACATAACCACCACGGGGACTGTGACATGTCTTCTCCCTTCTGTACATTACATAACCCCAACGGGGACTGTGACATGTCTTCTCCCTTCTGTACAATACATAACCACCACGGGGACTGTGACATGTCTTCTCCCTTCTGTACATTACATAACCCCAACGGGGACTGTGACATGTCTTCTCCCTTCTGTACAATACATAACCACCACGGGGATAGTGACATGTCTTCTTCCTTCTGTAAAATACATAACCACCATGGGGACTGTGATATGTCTTCTCCCTTCTGTACGATACATAACCACCAACAGACTTTGACACGTCTTCTCCCATCTGTACAATACATAACCACCACTTGGACTGTGACATGTCTTCTCCCTTCTGTACAATACATAACCACCACGGGGACAGAGACATGTCTCCTCCCTTCTGTACAATACATAACCTCCACAGGGACTGTGACATGTCTATTCCCTTCTGTACAATAGATAACCACCACGAGGACTGTGACATGTCTTCTCCCTTCTGTACAATACATAACCACCACGGTACTCTGACACGTCTTCTCCATTCTGTACAATACATAACCACTACGGTGACTGAGACACGTCTTCTCCCTTCTGTGCAATACATAACCACCACGGGGACAGAGACATGTCTCCTCCCTTCTGTACAATACATAACCACCAAGGCGACTGTGACACGTCTTCTCCCTTCTGTACAATACATAACCACCAAGGGTACTGTGACATGTCTTCTCCCTTCTGTACAATACATAACCACCACGGGGACTGTGACATGTCTTCTCCCTTCTGTACAATACATAACCACCACGGGGACTGTGACATGTCTTCTCCCTTCTGTACAATACATAACCACCAAGGGTACTGTGACACGTCTTCTCCCTTCTGTACAATACATAACCACCACGGGGACTGTGACATGTCTTCTCCCTTCTGTACAATACATAACCACCACGGGGACTGTGACATGTCTTCTCCCTTCTGTACAATACATAACCACCACGGGGACAGAGACATGTCTCCTCCCTTCTGTACAATACATAACCTACACGGGGACTGTGACATGTCTTCTCCCTTCTCTACAATACATAACCACCACGGGAACAGTGACATGTCTTCTCCCTTCTGTACAATACATAACCACAACGGGGACTGTGACAGGTCTTCTCCCTTCTGTACAATACATAACCACCACGGCGACTGTGACATGTCTTCTCCCTTCTGTACAATACATAACCACCACGGGGACTGTGACACGTCTTCTCCTATCTGTACAATACATAACCACCACGGGGACTGTGACATGTCTTCTCTCTTTCCTACAATACATAACCACCTGGAGGCCTGTGACACGTCTTCTCCCTTCTGTACAATACATAACCACCACGGGGACAGAGACATGTATTCTCCCTTCTATACAATACATAACCTCCACGGGGACTGTGACATGTCTTCTCCCTTGTGTACAATACATAACCACCACGGGGACTGTGACATGTCTTCTCCCTTCTGTACAATACATAACCACCACGGGGACTGTGACATGTCTTCTCCCTTCAGAATAATACTGTCAGTTCTTGGTGATAATGGAACCTGTATTGTACCGCCAGTTACTGGTTTATTTGGGTTTATTATATGTAGTTAGAATGATATATGTATCGTACGCTACGATCTGGTGTTAAAATTGTTATATAATTGTGATTGTCCAGACCTTAGTAAGGTTGGTGTATAAATGTGATTGTCCAGACCTTAGTAAGGTTGGTGTACAAATGTGATTGTCCAGACCTTGGTAAGGTTAGTGTGCAAATGTGATTGACCAGACCTTGGTAAGGTTGGTGTATAAATGTGATTGTCCAGACCTTAGTAAGGTTGGTGTATAAATGTGATTGTCCAGACCTTGGTAAGTTGGTGTACAAATGTGATTGTCCAGACCTTAGTAAGGTTGGTGTATAAATGTGATTGTCCAGACCTTAGTAAGGTTGGTGTATAAATGTGATTGTCCAGACCTTAGTAAGGTTGGTGTATAATTGTGATTGTCCAGACCTTAGTAAGGTTGGTGTATAATTGTGATAGTCAAGTCTAGATCCTTGCCATGAAAATGACAAAATGATGAAAGAAAAACTAAATAAATATATATAAGCAACAAATAATGGAATTTATTTTAGCAGAGGGAAACATATAACATGTCATTCACTTTTCTCTGTAAAACAAGTACTAGCATGGTGAACACTACAATGTCTAGAGAGCTCTTTAGTACCCAGAATATCTGTACAATAAAGACACATGTCCTCCATGCAAACAGTCCTTATTTCGACTTAAAGTATTCATTGCTATACATTATTTAAATATATCCACAACTCTGTATAAATTATCAACATAAAAAGTACCAAAAAAATTATTTAACATAATTTTCGTTTCTCTGAAATATCACATTTATAAAATGACTATATTGCACATCGTTTGAAACATTATGACAAAGCTAAGCTCAAGAAACAGATTTGATAAGTTCGTTTTTGTTGTTTTTTCCCCGCAAGTACAAGATAATTTAGCGACAGTAAACCGTTCTATCTCCTCTCTCTTGTTAACGTTTCCCGTCATCGCTTGTCATCGCGTTTCTCATCTTCTCTACACATTGATTAGAACATTCACGGTGGTGATGATCACAAACAGCACATCGATTACGAGCTTTGAGCGTTTAGGTCGAATAGAAATGACGTCATGCTTTCCAGTGCCTTATTGTGTAAATATTTACACGAAACCATTTGTTACAAGAGTGTTTCTATGTCGACGCCATATACCTTAGCGACTCCTACCGAAGTAAACGGAAAATGTAGAATTTGCATATTATGACGTCATTCCTTCTAGGGTATCTGAAGAGACTTTCGCTGTCCCCGTGCCGAGCAATGGCTAGTCTCCCTACATATTTCTGTACAATTCCATCGTAGCAACACACACATATATGCTTTTTAATCACATTTGCACAATGAATAAGATTAATAACCAAAATAAACGTCTTTGTACAAGTTTAGGGAAATTTCGGAATTCTGTCAGTGAAATCCCCACATTTAAATAAATAGCGTCTATTTGATGTCGATGCACTGGCTTTTTTTATGTTTAATGAAAGGCACCATATCTGAAAGAGAAGAATAAAACAATGTACGAGACTTTTAATGAAATACATAAAACTTGTTACTGTAAACAGTATACAGTGTATATCGTCTCCTTACAGAGAGTGTAATTCTCCAACAGTATATATAACCCTGTATACAGTGTATATCGTCTCCTTACAGAGAGTGTAATTCTCAACAGTATATATAACCCTGTATACAGTGTATATCGTCTCCTTACAGAGAGTGTAATTCTCCAACAGTATATATAACCCTGTATACAGTGTATATCGTCTCCTTACAGAGAGTGTAATTCTCCAGTATATATAACCCTGTATACAGTGTATATCGTCTCCTTACAGAGAGTGTAATTCTCCAACAGTATATATAACCCTATATACAGTGTATATCGTCTCTTTACAAGAGTGTAATTCTCCAACAGTATATATAACCCTATATACAGTGTATATCGTCTCCTTACAGAGAGTGTAATTCTCCAACAGTATATATAACCCTGTATACAGTGTATATCGTCTCCTTACAGAGAGTGTAATTCTCCAACAGTATATATAACCCTGTATACAGTGTATATCGTCTCCTTACAGAGAGTGTAATTCTCCAACAGTATATATAACCCTATATACAGTGTATATCGTCTCTTTACAAAGTGTAATTCTCCAACAGTATATATAACCCTGTATACAGTGTATATCGTCTCCTTACAGAGAGTGTAATTCTCCAACAGTATATATAACCCTGTATACAGTGTATATCGTCTCCTTACAGAGAGTGTAATTCTCAACAGTATATATAACTACGTATAACGGTTTTATTGTCCTCTTTACCGTAATGTTTCTATAATATGACATTGATTACAGTATAAACGCCCAGACCAAGTACACAATACTTACGTGTGTTGTGTTTACATCCGGACGACCTTGACCTCCCGTTGGACGGACATTGATCGCGTTCTGCGGGTTTGTGCAAGGTTTTTCTCGGCAATGTCAGCTCTACCCTCAGCCTCCTCAATCATTTGCTGTGCCTTACGGTACTTGCTCATGGTAATGCTAGTTACATCCTCCTGTGAACCAGACAATATCACAATTACAATTATATGGTATAATGTTGATATCAGATCGGTATCTTAATTACAGTGGCTGAGATGGGTGTATGAAAAGGATGGAAATAATAGAAATTTGGAATTCATTAATTGATAATAACGTGTATCCAGTATTTAGTTTTGTACAAGACAAATTCTTTTCGTGGCAACATATTTCAATATATCTTATGTCCCGAAAGTCATTTTTCTTCATTCTTTTGTAAGAAAAGTTTCTAAACGTACCGCCTCGTCGACCTGTCTCTTGTAGATCTTGATTTTCATATTAAGTTGGTCGTTAAGACTGGTGAGTTCGCTGACCATGCGGTGATCTTCCTCAGCGACGCTGATCAATTCTTTGTATTGACGTTCATATTTACGCATGTTAGCAATGGCCTCCCTCACTCGCCTCTGCTCGGCTTCTAATTCACCCTCCAAATCTCTGATCTAAACGGAAACAAAAAAAAAACAGACATGAATAAAGAAATGGTATACCTACTAAATATTAGCCAGGAAATTTATTTCAAATATTAACATTTTTCTGCAAGAACTTTAGAAAGAGTAGAGTTACTGTTAAAGAAAGTTTCTAAATTTGTTTTGGGATGTCATGCCAAACATTATTCTGTAAAACAAATTTCATTAAAGGCCGATAACTTACTCTTGCTTGTAGTTTTGCGATCTGTCTCTTTCCTTCCCTAAGGGCAAAGGCCTCTGCCTCCTCGAGCCTGAGAGTAATCTCACGGATCTCAATCTCGAGCTGCTTCCTCAGGCTTTCGGCATTCTTGTAATTCTCCTGTTCTTGACGAAGCTCGTCGGAAAGACGCTTGTTCTCATTGTAGAGACGCTCGGCACGTTCCTCGGCGGCTCGCTGGGCGTTGAGTGCTTCATCAAGGTCAGACTGCATGGCGGCGATGTCTGCCTCCATGCGACGCTTGTCGTTAGTAACCACTTGGAGTTGGAGTTGGATTTCTGATATGCGAATGGAGATTTCGTTGACTTCAGCTTCGGCGTTCTTACGTGCCCGTTCGGACTGTAAGGATTAAAATACGATGTTTATCGATAGCACATCATAGGACTTACAATAAATGAACTTGGATAGAGTGGAAACCATTCAGGAACCATTATCGTACCTAAATATACTTATGTAGGGGAATACTTGAGGGTAACAAGATATCAGACTTATGTCAGATAAACATGGTAGATATATCAAAAAGATATATAACCGGAAATACACCTATTATCCTGAATCAAATATAGATATATACAAGGAAATATTCTGTGAGGGAGTGGACTCCATATTCACCCGAACTACGTATGTAATTAATTGTTTAACCTATCTTATACTGAAGTGAAATATCAGAAACATTCTTACACTTTCCATGGCGGCCCTGATGTCTTCCAGTTCTGCCTGGAGGGCAACACGTTTCCTCTCGGAGACGGACAGTTGAGCGACGGCATCTTCAAGTCTGCGGGTGGTATCCTCGTTGATGGCCTCGAGTTCCTGTAAACAACAAGTTCACGTTTTACACATAATAGACAGTTTCCTGTTTGTGCTTCCCCGATGTTTAAAGTTAACTTTGAGAGGTTTAAGTGATTTTTGTCAGACAATACAAACAAACACGGTTCGTTATATCCAGGCTGACTCTTGGGTAACACATTAAGCACCAGAATGGCATATTTACAAAAATGTGTGTTGGGAAAAAAACAACGTTAAAGACGTTGTCTACAGGGGATAGAAAGGCAGTCGATGTTACACGAAGGTAATATCATGACGTCATATGTAATAATAATAAAATACTTTGAGCGAAACACTTTTTTACATAAGGGAATTCACAAGTATTTTTTTAGAAGAGATTGAGATTGGGATATGAAGTTTAGAATCTCCAGGGATAAAGACAGCTGACATTGCTTCATGCTACCCGTGGATGGTACACTGATAACATACCTCGCTTGGATAACACATCTACATGGTATATATCATATCATATATCCGATAAGAACCGGTGGGAGCCTAGCAAACATATAGATGTGCAGACTTTTACAACCTTCAACGTTTCTATAAGTAGATTTAACATTTCTACTCGAAACATGGCCTCATTTAGATAAGGTTACAAGGTTTATGAAGGAGACTCTGATGAAAATGGCCGTTTTCTATTGTTTAAATTTTGGCCTGGCTTTCACACAAACCACAACAAACCGAATGCCTAATGACTATCAGTAAACTATCTAGTACTATTCATTTCTTACGGAACAGAATGAGATTATGTGGACTGCTTAACTCTATGAGGATCCTTTCTTATGCTATCTGTTCCAGCATCGGTGTTAGAAGACTTTTTTGAATCTGTACAAAATCTTAGCAACAATTTGTAGGTACTAAATCCAAATTACCAATCGAAGACTGTTACAGTATTAACAGTAATTAACATCAAACAAACTCTCCGAAGAGAATTACAACAACAAGGACGAATGTCTGTGAAAACATCTATATTTGAACTACTCTGAAAGACAGGGTGTTGCCCTCGATAATAGCTGACTTACCTTGACGCGGGCGTGGAGTGATTTGATCTGTTTCACGTATTCGGCGTTCGCCCTGTTGGCATTGTCAAGAGCAGCCTCGAGTTCCCTAATGTCGGTCTCGTACTTCTTCTTGATGCGGCTAATCTCAGCCTTGTAACGGACCTCAACCTCCACAAGGGTCCTCTGTAACTCCTCAATAGCGCGGGCACTGCTCTTTCTGTAATAAAGTGGGATTTCTGTATTACTACGTCATCACAATATTCGCGCTTATGATTAAACCAGTCAGTATTCCTAGTGCTATTAGTTTGGTTCTGGCGAGGGAACTAGAATATAGATGTAACTTACATGTTCAAAGAACGAAAATAATGACCGAAAGTTTGAAGTTCCTCCTCTCGTCCTGCCATTTTGGAAACTTATGTCTATGTAATGGCAGTAGGGTGGATTTTATATGATCTGGTTTAAAGGCCATGCCTAAGTGTGAGATAAGACAAGTGAGGAGATAGGTATTATCTGATCGGCTGCAGAGATCCAGCCCCTGAACATGTAATAAAATATACAGTAAATATGGTGTGTCAAAGTTTCTAAATACAGATCTCAAATTTTCTCTGGAATATGTACAACTGATTCGAAGACAAGATAAGAGGTAAGGTGTTGTGTTACTGAGTTGCCTTTGTGTACTTTGGAGTACTTTTTGGTTTTACATGAACTTAACATAACACTGATATTTACAACTTCAGAGAAGGAGAAAGTCACTCTTAACACATCACAAAACATGACGCTGTTGTTCTGTGTAGTTTATTTCAGTAGATTTCTAGTCTGTAAAGTCTTTTTAACCATATATCAAATCACGTGACTTTACTAACTACACCAGAAAAAAAAATGGACCACTTACCTGATGCTGTCTATTTCTTCATCCTTCTCACGGAGCCTCTGTTCCATTTCGGCGCGGAGCTGGGCAAGGGCGGCTTGTGCGGCGGCGAGTTTGTTCTCGGCGTCACGAAGGGCGTCCTCGGTATCGCGCAGGGCAGACGCCAAACTATCCCTCTCGGCGGTGAGTGCGGCGTTGGCGGCCCTGAGTTCGTCGTTGGCTTTGTTGGCATCCTTGAGGGCTTGTTTGGTTTCTCTGAGGGCATCTATGGGCGAACATAACATACAATTCAGTAATCAAATGTATACTTTATAGCGAATGTTGGTATTGAACAAACGATTGATGTGCTGCACTGTTTCGTTTTAAGACTATTAAACGACAACCGTATCAGTAAAAGTGAAGAATGCTCCCAGAAAACAAATGTAAAGGTCATGATCATGACATAAAAAATTCTGAAAGGGCAATAACTCTGTGATTGAGGGGCCATCGGCCCTGACATTGCACCTTGCTTTTGTATGACTGATCAACACATCACATTTCGATATCCTAGTTTATATAAAGCCAGGCAAAATAATGTCCTGAAAACAAAATTTTAAAGAAGGAAAAGGAATGATTCTAAACTAAGAAGAATTAAGATAAATCACCCTCCAGTTTCTTGTTTTCACGTGCTAGGTTATCGTTCTTCTCCTGGAGCTCGGCGACCTTGACCCGGAGACGCTGGCACTCTGCCTCGAGGGCAGCCTTCTCTGAGCGGAGAGCAGCGTTCTCAGCGGAAAGATCGTCGACCTTCTTCTGAAGAGCGGCGTTGTCGTTCTCCAGCTGTCGGTTCCTCTTCGTGAGATCCTGTACGATGATGGTGAGCTGGAGAAGAGAAAAAAGGGATACTGTAATCATCTTTGACAGTGTGCGTGCATTACATGTTGGTTATCCCCGCTTTAGTCTTTTACTTTTTACGTGTATGTATGCGAGTTATCTCCCTTCACTTTGTAATATATACACGTGTGTGTCTCGTATATTCCCATTGTTATATATATCTTATATCGATATATATTTCAATCCTTTTACATTAATATTTACGAACCATTTCAATGTTTATTTTCTTTGTTGATATTTTAATGGTTTAGGATCTTTCTATTTACTTACGTTTTCAATTTCGATGTTAAGCTCCCTAACTTCATTAACGAGTTTCGACTTGGCCTTCTCAAGGTTGGAGTTGCGGGCCCTGAGTGTATCGCAGGCATCTTCCAATTCCTGGACACGGACGGTTAACTTCCTCCTGAAAGTTTAATACATCTTATTATACACTGCTGTCATTCTTACAAATAGATACCATCGGCCGTCCTAACATTTAAAACAGTTCCTCACAACGTTTCAAATCAATATTTCCAAATCTTCTGAATTGAAAATATACATAACATTTACCTCGCCCATCTTTGTAAACAAGTGCAACTGTCCCTCCTTATATATAGTAATTAAGATTGGCAATTGTAATCTGAATGTGATTTATACAAGAGCGGAAATACCAGCGCAGACTGGCTATAAACTTAAACAACAGTTGTGTAATTTATTTATTGAAAACACTTTTATTATTCACCCAGAACATTGTGTTGGCATTATAACTATCATTTATACTCTGTTTTTCACATGTCAGTTCTTCAATAAAAACTAGTGTTTTATTTTCCAGTTTTCGTTTACTAGGATCATCTTCGGAGATTTCTGTATATGTTTATTGTCCAGTATAAATGTAAATATCTACAGAAACACATTGATAAGTACCGATGACGAGTGCACGCACTTGCCACTGTTGATATATTATGACTACACTGTTATACTGTCATGACATCCTTCTCCTGTCAGACAAAGGCTTCTTTCTGACATCGACGCTTATAAGTAAAATATGTGTTCCTCACCTGACAGATTCAAGCTCCTCGCGGACCGTGACGATTTCCTTGTCGTATTTGGACTTGAGAGCCACCAGATCGCTGTTGGCTTTGCTGAGGGAGTTTCGGAGGATGGATGCGGCTTCGGATTCTTCTTCATAACGGGCGTTCAGGTTGTCATAGTCACTCTGCAGTGCACTGAGTTGAACTTGGAGATTCTGTCTTTGCTATAGTCGGATAACAAAAAGAAAAAAGACATTTGTAATTTGATTATTCCGTGAAGATGAATTTCAAGTATTTGAGTAAATCGGTCCCTTGATAATGAAAATGACAATTTAAAGGAGTCGTTTCATACGGGAATTCCGTCTTCATTGTAGTCATGATGTGTAGAACATCACATTCTAACGACATCTACTACTAGTTTAGGATGGTTAATGTTGCTTTTTTTGAGTTCCGTTCCTTAAAGAGTGTTCAAGGATATAAAGACTTACCCTGGACTCGTCATCCAAGTTCCTCTTCAAATCATCCACGCTGACTTGAAGCTGAGATTTGGCCTTGGCGAGTCCGGCGTTGGCGGCGTCCAGCTCCTGTACTTGATGCTGAAGGTCGAAATTCTCCTGGGTGAGGCGAGCTTTAAGGCCATTGAGATCGTTGAGCTGACGTGTCATATCATCTACCTGAGCCTTCAAACGCAAGTTGGAGCTCTCCAAACCCTCGACCCTTATCTCAAGTGTTGACTGTAATGACACCAGAACATGTTACTAACAAGTGTTGCTTCAACTATAAAGGCATGCAATGTAGAATTATCGAATTTACTCCACATCTGAATAATCACACAATGGAAATTAGATCGCGTACCTTAGCCTTAGCCAGAGAATCGTTCGCCATCTGCAAACCGTCGATTTCCACAACAAGAGTAGCTTTCTCCTTCTCTACCCTGCCTTTGGCCTTGGACATGTGTTCAAGTTGGTCCGCAAGGTCGTTCAAGGCATCCTGATGACGCTTTCTCTGGCTACTTTCCTGAGCCTCGTACTGAGTGGACACGAGTTCTAAGTCTTTACGAAGTTTGTTAACTTCGGCTTCACGTTTCCTGGAGATCTCGCTCTGGAGTAAAAAGTTTAAAGTAAGATTATTTTTCTTTGAATGTTTATTATTTCCATAGAAAATCAAAATCCACGTGCTGTTTGAAAAATCTCAATCTGGAATTTAATCAAATGATTAAATGTGAAATCGTTTTGTCATTATCAATAAAAAGAAATTAGGTCCTTTTTACAGAGTGAAGATGCAGCTATTTTTAATTTTGATTGCACAGATGAAATTACGGATTGATGATTCACCTGTGTGGACTGTAAACCGTAAGCCTCCTCATACCGGTCGTTGGCCTGGTCTAGTTGGAAAGTGAGTTCAGCACATTGTTTCTCGAACTGTTGAACGAAAATCGAATATTTTAGAGACATGTCTGAAACGAAAATGTTATTATCGAGTTTCTATCCATATGTAATAAACTCGGACCTATATCAATGTGATGTAATTACGTACAGTGTAGACTCGGACCTCTATCAATGTGATGTAATTACGTACAGTGTAGACTCGGACCTCTATCAATGTGATGTAGTTACGTACCGTGTAGACTCGGACCTCTATCAATGTGATGTAATTACGTACAGTGTAGACCCGGACCTCTATCAATGTGATGTAGTTACGTACAGTGTAGACTCGGACCTCTATCAATGTGATGTAATTACGTACAGTGTAGACCCGGACCTCTATCAATGTGATGTAATTACGTACAGTGTAGACTCGGACCTCTATCAATGTGATGTAATTACGCACAGTGTAGACTCGGACCTCTATCAAGGTGATGTAATTACACACAGTGTAGACTCGGACCTCTATCAATGTGATGTAATTACGTACAGTGTAGACTCGGACCTCTATCAATGTGATGTAATTACGTACAGTGTAGACCCGGACCTCTATCAATGTGATGTAATTACGTACAGTGTAGACTCGGACCTCTATCAATGTGATGGAATTTTGTACAGTCTAGATTAAGGCATTTCCACTTATTTCTGACTGTGTAATGTTGGCCTGCCCACGGCAATTTATCATGTCTAACACGTCTGCTAGTGAAATACAGCCTCGCGCGCTCATATATACACTTTTTTACAAGAAGTAGTTCCACTGCAGGTGGAGTTGACTGGGAGATTTGAACCGTCCATTCTGAATGTCACTTCACACAACATGATACACTTACTGACTATAAATATTAGTGTTAACTGATGATTGCTAAATATGGGCGCGAAGAATTGAATTTTGAAGTTATTTTCGAATTAAATGCACTAGGGAAAACTAAAATTTCTGAAATCATGTCGTCCTGCCTAGTTCCGCGGAGATAAGTTTGGAATTTTATTTCTATGATATAATATAATTGGAAAGTGAGAGAGGAAGAACACTCTGTATGTATGTAGGAAAGAGATATTCTATTTTCTGAAGTAAAACAAAACCCTTTTTGTAAACCTCTGAATACCCCTATATTAATGAGTCTTTTAGTAGTATAGTTCACAGTTGTACTTGTAGCTGTCTGAAGTACACTACCAATGCTAGGACGATATATATCATAATTAATTTTCAAACTAACAGTGTAAGGACGATGTATATAACAATTATTTTTTCAAACTAACAGTGTAAGGACTATGTATATTATAATTATTTGTCACTCATTCATAATTTTTGAAAAAACAGGTAGACCGGAAACTCTAGTCAGAGTGTGTAAAATCGGGTGTGGTAGGGTAGAGGTAGTTCAGGTGATCTTCCCCGTGATCTTCCCCTGCAGTATTCTGGGGAAGACACCGCATTCCTATCACACCTGCAAGTCTGACGCCATCTTGTCTGGCGAGGTAGCTGGAGAGCCAGTCTATTCGCGATGGGAATCATTGATGATGTTTACATAAAAGCGAAGGATGTTCACTGTAGTTGATATACAGCGGGATCTCCTCGCGTGGCTCAAGATAGACATCAGAGTGCCTAACTACAATAGACAGTGGGGTCCTCTCGCTAGAGGATTGGGTTACTATTCTCGCCGAGCTGTACAGACGGTACATATTTAGGGCCAAGTGTGCTGTTTGTGGTGTAATACACGTGCATAGCAAACCGCTGTCTCAGCAGCCCGTGTAGGTATCAGCATATTTCTCTACTTCCCCGTCCGTCCGCTCAAAAATCTGACGTTATCGTAGTACTTAAGATTTACTGTATTAGAAGACCACAAGTTTGATTTGCTCAATAAACCCAATCACGTAGAACAACAGACCGTGTCATACTTAAGGAGAATTTAACACTCTTTCCATTATACACCGTTGTCTACTTGTTTCACGGTGGAGTGAGTGTATATGGATCTTAATATGACATCTGTTTCTAGGCAAACCGTAATCTATCAATGAATACGAGAACCTGTTAGATTTTACTCCCCTACTCTCTGTCGGACACCATTTTTTCTACATATTCGCATTATGATCAAGACGAGATATGTGTAAATCACAATCTGGGATTATTTAAAATCAGTTTCATTTTATAATTATTAATAATTAATTTATCTTAATTCATATATACTCTGATACGCATGTCTCTCTCAACATTACGTCACGTCATATTTACTCTGATACGCATGTCTCTCTCAACATCTACGTCAGGTCATATTTACTCTGATACGCATGTCTCTCTCAACATTACGTCACGTCATACTTACTCTGATACGCATGTCTCTCTCAACATTATGTCACGTCATACTTACTCTGATACGCATGTCTCTCTCAACATCTACGGCATCCTCCAGCTCCCTGATTCGGCTCTGTAAATGACGTCACAAAAATTGTTAGAAAAATAAGAAGAAATACAAAAGTGATATTTAAACAAATAAGGTAAGATATGCGAAGTTAATGCCAGAACTTATATCAGATCGATATCTATCAAACATTAATGAAATTTGGACTTGAAAAATATTTTTTTAAATAAACAGCAAAATATGATATATATAATTTTGTATACAATTAGGCAGAGATCTGGACTTATTGACAGAAACACAATTGACGTGGACAACATTCTCATGACAGCACATCACACTATGAACATTGAGGACTTACAACATGCAGGTTATGAATAGGAAAATTAATTAAATTGATATATATTTTAGGAGAAACTTAATTTTACGGGTGAATATACTGGGAACTCATTGTGTTTTTTTTTTTTTTGTTTGTTTGACTATTACATAAAGTTGTGGTTGGGTTTTATTACATATGGTCATGTACATCTTTTTTATATGGTAGAATGGGATTTATGGTTTAACCATCCATTTCACTTCTGGGCATGGTATACCCAAATCTTATTGGCAATCGATAGGGAAGTTTTGGAATCTGATAGATATGGAGAAAGGTATGTGGCTTTTCAAAGGGATATCACGCGGATGGAAAGGTTCAGTCGATTCGTCCATTCTTTCCTGAATCATCTTTGCATATGTCCAATCCATACGAAAATGCCATGATCTCGTTTGCGTTGGTATTTCTCAGCATTTCAGTCGGTGGTAATTCAATAGACAAATAAATATTATAGACTCGATTACTTCAGACCTTGCAAAGTTGCATGCAAACAATTTTGAAAAAAAAATATTGTCAGTTACATACGAATAAATAAAACACTCTTAAACCCGGCGAAGTTTTCTTCTAACGTTCTGTTGTCGCAAGGAAGAACACAGCTTGCAGGAAGTGACGTCAGGACATGCTTGGAGTGGGCGGAAGTGCACTCACAACCTCTTTGATGTACCTGAATATACATACACTACCTGAAATCGTTGTTCCTCAGCTTGAAACAAGTCTTGTTCATGTTTAATTACGCGAGTGGATTTCTCTACATTGACATTAGCAGCTGACTGTGCAGAACTTGAAGATGAACTGATAATGGTTCGTTTCACTTGGCTTGAACTTGTTCTTAGCTGACTTGAACTCGATGCAACGGAACTTGATTGAATCTGACTTGTGCTTGCTCGTCTGGAAATAGTCCCCGTTTTCTAACAAACCAAAGTTTGTAGTCTGTTATAAAAAGGTACCCGAGTTTGAATGTAGGTATTTTTTTAACAGGAAGGGGAAGGGACTACAGGATTTGAAATATTTTATTTATTCATTTCTTTCGAAACAATCAATAACCATTTGGGTGATGTGATGAGTTGTAATATAGACACATGCATGGAAGAAGTTACCAAATGTAAAGCAGAAATCCTGTTTATCACCGACGTATTTAGTAAGATTTACCCACGGAGCCGTAAAGCAACCCTGATCCGATTCTTTAGGTATATAATTGTGTAGCAACACGTTCGTTATAATTTTTAAAGAATGCATGCTTCTTGTCATGTGTTATGATTTAAACCAACTGTCTCCACCATAACCGCTCGGCTAGAAATGTTAACTTTTCAATGTTTTTTTTAACCGATAATTTCTAAGATTATATCGTTCATTAGAAGATAACTTTTTTATGATATCTTGTTCTATTTTATCTCTCTTTTTATTTGACACACAAGTAAACATCGAGGCTTTCAACAATTAAGTACACAAATATCTACATTATCATATGTCAGGCGCAGTCCGTATAACGATAAGGATGTATTTTGTATAAATGTTAAATTGACTCTGAACAATAGTAAGAATAAAATTTAGATAAAAAAACGCACAGATAAGCAAAGGGACGTGTATCATGCAGCGTTTGTTCCGTATTACTGTTAGGACCAACGTGGTTGATCGTTTTTTAAATTCTAAAATAAGTTTTTAAATTAAAAAAAAAATTCATGTCTGCCTATGAATGTTTGTTTCTGATTGCACTATCCATTGAAAAAATCCTAAGTCATTTGCTGTCTGTTCTGTGAGTTTTATTATAAACCCAAGAAATATTTGCCTCCTCTCATGATAAAAAGCTAAAGTATTTTGGCTTGATTTCAATGCGCCTGTCCGTTGCAAGCTGTATACACAAAACGCTGACTTATTTTTGGCTCGTGTAACGCAATCCGAATCTCCGAGGTACTTCAACCATCGTGCAATGCCCAAAAGAGGAAAGTAGCCATCCTACGTCAGTGCCCGGAAGCTACCGACACTTTCCGAAGATGATTCGACAGTTTCTGTTGACTTTCGCTGATATGACCTCAAAAGACTTTAGTGTTTATACTTCATTAGAATATTGATATAATTAGGTGCAAAATTAACCTACTGTAGGTTTTTTGTTGTTTTTTTCTATGCGACTAAACGTTATGACTATTTTTGTCGAAAAAAACCCCACAGAGCGTGTGTTTACGTCAATAATTGGATGAGTATGTGCATTCCTGAAATATCTGTACCTATTCACGTGCGCTACCGGTGAGAGATAACCGACAGCCGCCCAGTGATAGCTGCCGTACCTCTCTACCCATTAAACCTTACGCCTTATCAGATTATTGACTTGCAACATCGAATCCACAAACATCGTTCCCATAACTATTTGCCTGCTGTGGACTCGCGTGGTACCAAGATAACTAGTGCGTGTTACTCGGTAACAGGTTTCACTGCGAATAACTGTAGATATATATATATATAAACAAGGTACTTACATACCAGTGTTTAACAGCAAAATTAAACTCAAGTGGTGCAATTAGTATACAACTCATAAAGAGATGTAAATAACTCAAAAACAAACCAAAATTTGTCAAATTTAAACTCATGTAGCATGATGATGGTGTCAGTGTGTTTATTTTACTTCCGAGTCACTGCTCGTGAAATTATTCGTGAAATGATTCCAGAATTCAGGATATTAACTAAGAAGAAATCTATCCACAGTTTAATCCGATATCACCAAGTCTGACTACAGAGACAGCAAGTTTCACAATGAAGGTGTGATATATCCACTGTAATCCCGTATATATAGCTCCAGCCACAGAATAGCAACATCATTAGCACAATAGCAACGCCAAGCACACGACTTTACAACATAACAATCTGTTAATCCGATTCCGAAAAACACACACGTTGTGCACAACTCGACGTTAAGCAATAGGAAGCTGCAGTAAATCCCCACTTTTATCAGAACAACAAATGCATAACATACTAACAAAATTTGTATACCGTTTGATAAAAAACAGATGGAACTAATTTGGTGAATTCATTAGGAAAATTGATTGTATCAAATATAACGTAGAGCATAGGCGTTGAATTCAAATACTTGGCACATATAAAGCAAAAGAGGGAAACACAGTCTTTAGATTTTGAAATTAATATGGAATAGGAAAATGGGATTCCACACAAAAAACTCACCTCGAACCGGTTCTGTGTGGTGGGAGATGTGCCCCGGTATACCTGGTAAGATCGCTTCACGTGCACAATCTTGTTTATATCCGAATCAAAATCAGCCATTTTGTTAGTTCAGGAATACAGCAAACCACAAAAGTAAGAAAATGAAATCTACAGGAAATCACGAAATGGAGCTGAAAGTGAAACTACTTTTAATCCACTGCTCGGCACCGAGTGGTGAGTTTGTACACTAACGGCAGAGTGACTAGAACGCCCGAATGAATGCTTTAAATACTAGCCCTTGTAATGTTTTATACTGCTCGCGCATCCGTTAGGGGGCGCTGTGCTTGTGTCAGTAGACACCGCCAAGGAGAAACCTGATACCCATAAGAGTCAAAGAAGGCATGATCAGTTGGTAATACATTGGCTTAGCGAGGGTATCCCCCATCACACGTCACTGATGTGATGTCATAGTCCTGCGCATCCTCTATCCGCACGCGCATGATAATTTATTTGAGCGTCCTTAGCGTTAGGGAACGGGAAGTGTAAGAAAATGATAAGACACTTCCCGATTGGTACTCTGTGTTAACACCCTTGCGCCAAATATGGCGTCCTGGAATTGGACTGAGCGTTCACTACTGAATGTCGAGTTCTGTGAGTGATGGATAAACCGTGTATATAACAAAAAAGATAGTCGGAAGACAGAACAGACAAATAAGATTCAAGTGCCTCTAATTGTAAACATAAGCTTGATATTTTGCGGAGTTAGCTTTCATAAACCGGACTTCAGCTTGGCAGACTATTTCTCGTACAGGTGTACGTGCTGGCGGCATGCGAAACCAAATATGTCAGGAGGAAAAGTGACGCGGTATTGTCGCTGTGTTAGACTTCCGCATTGTTGGTGGTGGTATTTTATAAAGGCTGGATTCCAGTCTAAACTAGGTCATCTTTCCAAAATATAGAAAATTGATCAGCTTTCCTTAAGTTGTATTAACGTTTCAGGATACTATGAATATATACAGTGAAAATATTTACACGTATAAATATATAGGGTCAGGTTAACGGGTGTGTAACTAAAAATAGAGGATCATGATTACACGTGTGTTACTACAGACATAGGGTCAGGTTAACGGGTGTGTAACTTATATGGAATCATGGTTACACGTGTATTACTATAGATATAGGACCAGGTTAACGGGTGTGTAACTAAAAATAGAGGGTCATGTTTACACGTGTGTTACTATAGACATAGGGACAGTTTAACGGGTATGTAACTAATGATATGGAGTCATGGTTACACGTGTGTTACTATAGATATAGGACCAGGTTAACGGGTGTGTAACTAATGATATGGAATTATGGTTACACGTGTGTTACTATAGATATAGGGATAGGTTAACGGGTGTGTAACTAATGATATGGAATCATGTATAAACATGTGTTACTACAGAATTAAATTATTTTACAATGTGTTGTCTCAGTGACATCCCTATATGACACATTATTCTACAATGTGTTGTCTCAGTGACATTCCTATATGACATTACTTTACAATGTGTTGTCTCAATGACATTCCTATATGACATTACTTTACAATGTGTTGTCTCAGTGACATCCCTATATGACACATTATTCTACAATGTGTTGCCTCAGTGACACCCCTATATGACATTACTTTACAATGTGTTGCCTCAGTGACATTCCTATATGACATTACTTTACAATGTGTTGTCTCAGTGACATTCCTATATGACATTACTTTACAATGTGTTGTCTCAGTGACATCCCTATATGACACATTATTCTACAATGTGTTGCCTCAGTGACACCCCTATATGACATTACTTTACAATGTGTTGCCTCAGTGACATCCCTATATGACATTACTTTACAATGTGTTGTCTCAGTGACATCCCTATATGACACATTATTCTACAATGTGTTGTCTCAGTGACATTCCTATATGACATTATTTTACAATGTGTTGTCTCAGTGACATTCCTATATGACATTACTTTACAATGTGTTGTCTCAGTGACATTCCTATATGATATTACTTTACAATGTGTTGTCTCAGTGACATTCCTATATGACATTAATTTACAATGTGTTGTTTCAGTGACATTCCTAAATGACATTAATTTACAATGTGTTGTCTCAGTGACATCCCTATATGACATTAATTTACAATGTGTTGTCTCAGTGACATCCCTATATGACATTTTGTTTTACTGTTGTCTGCCTCAGTGATATCACATTGTTTTACAATGTGTTGTCTCAGTGACATTCCTATATGATATCACATGTGTTTTACTGACATTGTCTGCCTTTTTTTAGTGTTGTCTATCACATTGTTTTACAATGTGTTGTCTCAGTGATATCACATTGTTTTACTGTGTTGCCTCAGTGATATCACATTGTTTTACAATGTGTTGCCTCAGTGATATCACATTGTTTTACTGTGTTGTCTCAGTGATATCACATTGTTTTATTGTTGTCTGCCTCAGTGATATCACATTGTTTTACAGTTGTCTTAATTTACAATGTGTTGTCTCAGTGACATCCCTATATGACATTTTGTTTTACTGTTGTCTGCCTCAGTGATATCACATTGTTTTACGGTTGCTTGCCTCAGTGATATCACATTGTTTTACTGTTGTCTGCCTCAGTGATATCACATTGTTTTACTGTTGTCTACCTCAGTGATATCACATTGTTTTACTGTTGTCTGCCTCAGTGATATCACATTGTTTTACGGTTGCTTGCCTCAGTGATATCACATTGTTTTACTGTTGTCTGCCTCAGTGATATCACATTGTTTTATTGTTGTCTGCCTCAGTGATATCACATTGTTTTACAGTTGTCTTCCTCAGTGATATCACATTGTTTTACTGTTGTCTGCCTCAGTGATATCACATTGTTTTACTGTTGTCTGCCTCAGTGATATCACATTGTTTTACGGTTGCTTGCCTCAGTGATATCACATTGTTTTACTGTTGTCTGCCTCAGTGATATCACATTGTTTTACTGTTGTCTGCCTCAGTGATATCACATTGTTTTACTGTTGTCTGCCACAGTGATATCACATTGTTTTACTGTTGTCTGCCTCAGTGATATCACATTGTTTTACGGTTGCTTGCCTCAGTGATATCACATTGTTTTACTGTTGTCTGCCTCAGTGATATCACATTGTTTTACTGTTGTCTGCCTCAGTGATATCACATTGTTTTACTGTTGTCTGCCTCAGTGATATCACATTGTTTTACTGTTGTCTGCCTCAGTGATATCACATTGTTTAACTGTTGCTTGCTCAGTGATATCACATTGTTTTACTGTTGTCTGCCTCAGTGACGTCCCTGTCTCACACATATTTTACTGTTGTCTGCCTCAGTGACGTCCCTGTCTCACACATATTTTACTGTTGTCTGCCTCAGTGACGTCCCTGTCTCACACATATTTTACTTTTGTCTGCTGCATTGAAGTCACTTCCTATTATGTTTTACAAAAATATTTCCTGATCATATTACAATACTTCACTCAACCGCCTATTTTGGGGGCGGTACTGTTCCGCAGCATGGTACACATACCTGTTTTCTGTAACAAAAATTATTGATAACCAATGATACTATACAGGATGTAAAAGTACACGTGACCTCTGTTCTTAGATCAACCATGATCGATAACAGATGGAACTTCTCACAAACGTTCGATATTTCAGAATAACATCGAATATCTGGACCATAGATCTGGCTCCTTCTCCGTATACTTGGGGCATGTTTCTGTCTTCAGATATGTGGATCATGTTTCTATATCCGGGTACCTGGGATATGTATCAGTCTTAAAATACCTGGAATATCTGTCTTCCTATACCTGGATAATAGTTATGTCTTCTGACACCTTGAACACGTTTCTGTCACGTAATTCTATTTGGACACCTAGTATATGTTTCTGTCTTCGGACATCTGTCACGTAAATCTGTGTTTGGACACCTAGGATATGTTTCTGTCATCGGACATCTATCACGTAATTCTATTTGGACACCTAGTATATGTTTCTGTCTTCGGACATCTGTCACGTAAATCTGTGTTTGGACACCTAGTATATGTTTCTCTCTTCGGACATCTGTCACTTAAATCTGTGTTTGGACATCTAGTATATGTTTCTGTCTTCGGACATCTGTCACGTAATTCTGTGTTTGGACATCTAGTATATGTTTCTGTCTTCGGACATCTGTCACTTAAATCTGTGTTTGGACACCTAGGATATGTTTCTGTCTTCGGACATCTGTCACGTAATTCTGTGTTTGGACATCTAGTATATATTTCTGTCTTCGGACATCTGTCACGTAAATCTGTGTTTGGACACCTAGGATATGTTTCTGTCTTCGGACATCTGTCACGTAATTCTGTGTTTGGACATCTAGTATATGTTTCGTTTCTATCTTCGTTTACCGGTGATATATATATGTGTGTGTGTGTTCAGATACCTGAGAAAAATATCTCTACCTTTGGGATACCTTGACCACAATCTGAGAGGAGTTTCCCTTTTTCTAAAATTGCATGGATAGATGAAAAAGAGAAAGCTTATCCTTAACCTGGTCTCAACTTGTAGTAACAAGGATTTAGATTTTATAATTTCCCCGTTTTGTGGTTATAACTATGTTTTTATTTTCCTATCACGTTTTGAAATAAATACATAAAGTCCCGAATTTTGACAAATAAAGATGACTGACTTTAACAGTTGTACCCTGAAGTAACACTAGCTGGAATGTTCAGAATGGAGAGTCTGGGGAAGTGTGTGTGGGAGTCTTGTATTTGGTCCAATTTGGGTTCCATAATTAGCTTATGTATGATATTTACATACAGGTATGTTATCTGGGAACACGATTCCAATGTTATTACATATCCAAGCAGTTGTGGTCACGCTTAATTCACGCTGTTCTCTTTCTAACCCTCGTAACGCGAATATTTGAAAGGAATATCAACACAAAAATTCAATTTTTCGAACTTTTTTGCACGTTACCTAATTATATGTTTCAATAACAAAGGAAATTGCTACACTGGACAGAAATGGTAGACATTACTCATTACTGCTGGGAAACCTGAGAGCAGTATAGCATTCGTAGTCCCCATGTCAGTATGGTGTCCTTACACCTGTAACCAGTAGAGTGTCCTTACACCTGTAACCAGTATGGTGTTTTGACACCTGTGATCAGTGTGGTGTTTTGACACCTGTGATCAGTATGGTGTTTTGCCACCTGTGAT